TAAATAATGACAATAATCTAGTAAACAGAAGAAAAATTACTGAAGAAGCGGATGGTGATTATGGTTGTGTTGTGCAAAGATATTTTGAAAGTAATTAAAAAAACTCCTGAAGAAATTCAGATAATTTTTAATCAAACAATTTTATTACAATCACTATTTACCAGCTTATGCTGAAATGTGTTTAAAAAATAGTTGCTCTATGTAAAGTACAGCCGCTTGTAACTTGTAACGTTAGTGTTTTTTATTCCATTTGTAACTGTGATAAGTGCTAAATAAATAAATAAATAATTCAGCCCTACAGGGTTCCTGCTTTCCGGTCGCTAGATCGGAGAGTACCCTGATTTCCGATCACTAGATTGGAAAGTACAAGTCATAAATCGACAGTAATAAATGATATTAAGTAACTGTCAAAAAATTAGTACTTTATGTAGTATTTTTTGTCTCTCAAAATGTTTTTATTTTTTTTAACTTTTTGTAATACACATAATTTCTAAGCACAAACCGTCCTCAGTGAAATTAATATAAATATTAATTTTTTTTTTAGGATTACGTGCCTTTATATTAAACCTATCAATTTTTTAATTTATTTTTAAATAGATGAAATGAACTAACAATTCTCTTCTTGAGGGGTGCAGATGCATATCTTTGCTTGGAACTAACGCAATAAAACGATCATGTTTGTGGGTTACACCCTGCGATGAGGCCCTATTCTAAAATTTATTACTTTATTACCAGTAGGTACCCGGGTCGTATCTATCGGTCTTTGAAATTTGTTGTCGTTGAAGGAGATATGAACACCGATGAGTGCAACAGTGATAGCCGGCTGATGCATAGAAAATCGGTTAAAAATGACGAATTGCAATGTTGTATGACACAAAAAAATTAAACATACAACTGGAGTTCAGGATTTACCGTTATCTTCTACGATGAAGAGCCTTAAGTCGATTTTCTTTATACATACAGGGTGCGCCAAAACTCACGTCCCAGAGAAAAATGCCATATAAGGTAAGATACCAGGAACATGGAAAAAATGTTAAAAAAAATTATCTATGAAAATTTCGAAGTTATGAGAGTTTAAATTTTGCACTTTGACTCTATTTATTTCTGTAGGAAAAATAAGTTTTTTTGCTACAGGCTATTAGAAGAGGAAACAAGGAAGCTACATCCTAAATTGTAACTCTATTCAATGTTATTTGTGGCTTTAATTGGCAAAACTTTTGTACTTTTACTAAGTAATTGGAAAAAAACATATACAGGATCATCAGTATCATTAAATTGACATAAAAAAATGTCAAATGTCAAAAAATAAATGGCAAAATTTATTGACAGATAGAATTTTTTAAACATTTTTTCCATGTTACTGGTATCTTATCTTACTTAAACTTTTTCTCTGGGGCGCGAGTTCTGGCGCAGCCTGAAAAGAACTCCGGCACAAAGTTGATCTCCTTTACTTATGAGTCCATACCGTCCAAAAACTGTGTTTTCTTTGGTTTGTTTGTAAAAGTCGTGGAATTACTGATCATTTTTCTATATTTAACTTTTTGAACCATTTTGTTAATTATGTTAATATCAAAATCATTACACTTA